GCAGTGAAATGCTTAGATGTGGCTTTGCAGAGGGGGAGTCGGGATGCTGTCGTTTTGTGATTTAGGGTTCTTCTGCCAATAAACCCAGACGGTTTAGGCCCGCGGCCCGCAGAATCGGGCCCAGCGGCCACCAACATCGACAGACTGCGCTTTGCCTCTTATTTTCGCATTCAACGCTTCGGTGTTTCAACGAAGCTTTCTTGGCAGGCAAGCCGGTAAATCCACTGGGTTCTCGTTCTGGGCCGGTCCGTTCTTGCGCCAAGTCAGGAGCAGCTCTCGTCATGCATCTTGGAGTCCAGGGGGAGGACGAGCCGACGAGCTGTTTCAAATACTCGATAGATAGAACAATATATGACCACATGCACGCGCATACGCAAACACAAACGGCTAAACTTTGTTTGACACTCTTCGAAGGCACGCCTGAAGGACATTCTTGACACTCTTGTGCTTCACACTTTTGGGATACTCTTGCAGGGCACTCTTGTGGGACACTCTTGTCGCACACTCGGCTAATGGAGGACTCTTGTAAAGGACAGTGCTGTGGGACAGTCTTGGAGGACACTCTTGGGCGAAGCTTGTTGCATACAGTACAAGCTCCATGATGTAAAACTCCTAGAAAATAAACAACCTCATGTAGCAATATGTCAATGCATTACCCCCATGACACTTCATGACCCCCAAAGTGAACCATTTCAGAGCAACAAGATCAATTGAAACGCACAATGTGAACCAGAAACGTGCGAGTCAGATTGGGCTCTTGAACATCACATGCATTGGGCACCGCCCCGCATTGGACCACTCTCCGCCTCACAAGGTGCCGCCACTCAGAACGGCACCAGTACCTGTGTCGCATGGCAACTGGCAGGGGTGAACCTCACCGATCCGCAGACAGGAGCGAAGACCGTTGGGAGCCGTTTTTGAGCGTTTCCACGCAGCCAGGGCAGCCAGGGCAGCCTTAAGCAAAACATGGCGACGACTTCTAGCGCAGGACCCAAAAAGAAGTACCTCTTGAAAAACCCTTGCATGGTATTGAATCCTGCTATTTAGTGGATATGTTGCCAGGCTCTACTCCCATACCTCAGGTCATCTCAGGTCTTTCAACTAAGCTGCGGGAGTGCCTTTCTTGGATCTCTTGAACAGTTTGCCTTTGTGGAGGTGGCCGGCAAGTGTTGCGACTCGTCACCTCGAGTCATGGATTCCAGCAGAGGTTCCGTGCACTTGTGGAGAAAAACAGTAGCAGGAGGATGAAGACTGCAAATCGGGTTTACCTTGCTGCACATGAGCCTTGCGGGCCAACAATGGGTTCAAGTCCGTTCAAGTCAAAAGGAGGTGGTGAACATCCCGTGAGCTGCACGATGAAAGCGCGAGGAGAGCGGAAGATGAAAGCTGCGAGGACCCTGTCAGATTGTGACTTGGCGAGATGGAGCAAAGGGAGATGCAGTCGGCCGTAGAAGAGGTTTGTGAAAGCCACCCAACATCAGCTCCTGCGTTGCTGCACGGTACAAACCATTCAGTCTCTCCGTTGTTTGGCGTTCTAGTTCCCAGAGTTATTTCAAGTGCTGTTGTCGTTATGTAGTCTTATGTAATGTTGACGGTTGATTGATACAACACCCTAACTGGGGCGTTTAAATCAACTGTGAACATTACCGGCCCTACAGCACTGACTTAGTTCTAGATTGTTCAATTGCACCACAGTCCACAAAAATAAACACGTGTTCGTTCATTTTGAGCTGTTGTAGTCCAAGTGTTGCTTGGTCAAATCCTGCTCGAAGAAACCTTTGTCGCCCTTAGTGTCCTGCTTCCATTTGCTTCCAGTGACGGTGATCTATATACGGGCAGAAAAACTTTTGCACCGCGCTGAGTTGGTGCATGTGTATGGCTTAACAATAGGGTACCTTCCGGCATACATACTATACTGTCTAAACCCACTGGCAAACGAACGACTAAAATCACCTGTGGGTCTTGGGTCTTTCTTTTTCACGGCCACTTCTTACAGCCACTTAGAGCTGCCGTTCACTGCTTTACTCCAAGGTTGTCGTGGCTGTGATGAGGTGAAGGGCTGCCAGGCAAGACGATTGTTGGCAGAGTTCTTGGTGTAAATCACACGACACCAAGCCCCAGACACGCCATGTTTGGGATGGCCTAGTTGCTACCACGGCGGGTTTGGCATGCTTTACAATTGGCCAAAATCGGGTTGACACTTCTAAACGTGTTTTTGCTTCTTTTTGAGGTTCCCTTTAGGAGATCCTGTTGTAGGAATCAGGATGTTGGACATGTTTCAGAATTGTGCACACTACCAAGTGCTACCGATCGCCTGAATTTGAGGATTTTCCTGAACTCGTGGCGAACACGCTCCTCCGAACCGAACGGTCTCACCGAGACCGGCGGGCACCGGAGGGCTGGATCTTCACGCACCTGGACCGACGATGCCGTTGGCTTTACTTCGTGGACGAGGTGTGGGGACACATCACGTGCGAGGGCTGCTGCTGCGTCACGCGGTTTCGACAATGGGGGGTTTATCAATCAAGAGTCTACATTACAAAGCAGAGTTGCCCAAGGCCTTAGTTTTGTGTCAGGAAGATCCTTAACCTGTTGGGAACCACCGGATTGAGTTCCTCATCTCTTGAAGTCTGTGATGTGTCCACCAAGCTTTTGCACACCTCAGCAGGTGTGTCATGCAAATCCTGGAGATATGAGCTGCAGATGCCTCACGCCTCTTGGTGGCGGCATACCTCCCCCCACTGACCCAGCACAAGATGTAGCATTTTGTAGCTTTAGCTTCCACTGTTTCCGGGGACTCTGGGCCATGATGCACCATGAGTGACACCGGTCGACAGATGCATCCATAGGACACACGTGGACGCTTTACACTATATATATGTGTGTTTGTCAAGAACTGCAAGCCAACATGCCAGTCCAATTGCAAGCTGCTTCGCGATTGCTGAGCAGCTTGCCGAGCTGTTGAGGGCAGAATAATTTGAATGGTCAGGAGACTTAGGTACCCGCCCTACTTGTTCGTGAAAAAGCCGTGAGCCTGTTCCGGCGACCTGGCGCCTGCCGACCTGTCGTCCTTTTGACATGCAAGGAGCCGTGGGATCGCCTTCAGCTTCAAGCCCCGAAAGAAGACGCACCTGATCCTGGTGGACAGCAACTGGGAGTGACCTGTGGTGAGTTCACCGCCGCTTTTGCGCAAAGTTGTTTCTTTTTTTTATGGGCGTGTGTTTTTCATTGTGTTTCTAGAGCGGAGCCCTGGCCGCTGGAAGACATAAAATCATAACAGGTTGCAAACCAATATTCCTTAGATTCACATCATTCCCAGCAAACTGCGACTTGGAATGTCACAGTTTAGATGTCCAGCGCACGTTACAGTCACCCTTTGGCGCAAAAGTTGCTATGCTTATGCTAATGGCCTGGGCGAGTTGTTGCTGAACTAAGACAGTTCACCAGCCTGCCGTTTTGGCCTGCAGGGATGGGAAACCGATTGAAAGTACTGACTTCCATCCAATGGCACCAATGGCCCTTGTGACCCCTCAACTTGCCTAGCCTGGGTGGAATGGTGGGAGTGTTTGAGGGTATCACCACCCAAGGCGACGCAGTACGCATCATCAGGCATCATCCCTTTGAGGGGGTGTTTTTCTGAGATGGCAGACCAATCACTCAAAGAGTTATTTGTTTGGTTTGACCTGCATAGGTTACAGCGGTGCATATGTGATTGGTGTTGGCAAGGGGAGCAGTGAACATGACTTAATCACTTTGATAAGAAGTAATATCTAGTGAAATCAATTATTAGCGAAATCTAAACGGAGGGGATGAGAGAGAGAGAGAGAAAGAAAGAGGAAAATACGAAAGCAAAGTCAGTGACCGGGGGCTTTGCTCACTTTAGCCTTTGGCTGTGGCTGCTAAGCTTTGCATACTCACATCCCTGCGACGACGGCATTGCTGACGTAGCTAGGGGGACCTGAGATGAGGCAGATTGGATAGTCAAAGAATTAGGACACATGTAAGAATCTTCAAAAGAATCTTCAATAGTCTTGCCCTGCTGAATGGTCAAGTAAGACCTACTGTATATAGTGATTGGGACAAGCAGAACATGTTTGCATATCTTGGAACAAGCAGCACGTGTTTGTATATGTATATTGTATATATAGTTATGTATGTTACCCCTCTCTCATATGTATATATATATATATTTATTTGTTAACTAAAGGCCTGAAGGTGCATTCAATGCACATCCGAATGAAGCCAACTTGCGCACTGCTGCCCGAACTGGAGTTTTCGCTTGCTTCTCAATACCTTGATCCATCCAACTGTCAGTGACGGAAAATATTTTGGGAATCCTTGCATGTTGGAGAAAAAACTGAAGTCCTCATTTCGGGCCCTTTCTGTAGAAGAGGAAAAGCTGGACCCGTTCTCTCGCGCAGAACATGATCCGTCTCACCATTGCATCTGAGAAGCCGCAAGCCATGCCCATCACAAAGTGTGGCAACAGCAGCCAATAATAAATAGGCCATTGGCTATTGCCATGGAGGTCTGTGAGACCGTTGCTTTGGAGAAGCCAAGAGTCCAACATGGGCGAACATGGCTGGCTGCACTTTTACAAGGCCTCAAGAGCCAGAAAGATGCCACACCTGCTGGCAATGAACCCAAGCCCAAAATCAATCCACACCCACGTGGGTGGTAGCTTGGTGCTTCTGGGAGGTTGGCATTTGGAATTGTTTGTCCAGCCTCAAGGCTGGAAGAAGGACTAGCTGGTGAGCTCTTTGACCTGACGTCGCCCCCCCCATGCTTGACCGTCTCAGTGGCATGTCCCACACGTAGCATGTTACCACTTCAATCCATATGGTCGTATTCGATCGGATCAGGCGAACCTCCAATCAACGGGTGTGTGTTGATCGTGGGCCAGAGGTAGGGTATTATAGCGCCTCCTCCACGGAACGGACGTTGGTAGATCCCTGGCTGAAACACACTTTTATATACTGTTATATCCACTCCATTTGCAGGAGATCCAAAGGCTGCTGCTCTACAGACATTGTGGAAACCACTGCGGTACGTGGCATCAGCGACCAAGCTGAAGCGAAGCGTGATGTAGATATAGCTTTGATGGCCCGTTTGGAAGAAACGCCCTCCGGCCTCAGCGGGTTCCTCCGCCTTGTTTGGGGGAGCTGCCCTTCCATTCTGTCCCAACCAGTATCCCAACCTCCTCAACCAGTGGCTTTTGAAAGGGTTTCACCGGGCCAGAAGGGTGGAGATGCTGACCGCTGGGATGTGTCGCAGCATGTCGCAATCGTGCTACTCGATGACCACGCCCTGTGCTTCGCAGTAATTATTCGAATCCATCCGAATCCTTCAGACTGAAACTGAGGGAAAACAGAGACATGGCCTTGTGATCTCTGAATTTCCAGGACCGAGGCACCGATGGACACATGATGCTTCTTGAAATCTCCATGTACATGTGCCAACATGCAGTTTGTTTTCCTCGTTTTCTTGGCCCCCCCAAAAAAGTAAACAAGTGCCCGCATTCACATGTCCGGCCGGGGCCACAAAGAGCTGGGAGAGCTTGGACGGTATTATTGAGTATTTTGGAGCCTATGCCCGGCCATCACCCAGGCTTGGGCATCCGTTCCGGTGAGTGCTTTGGCCTCTTGGGACCCAATGGCGCCGGGAAGACCACGACCCTGGCGGTGCTGCCGGGCGGCCGAGTCGACTGGGCGGCCCTTGGGGTTCGGACGGTGTGGTCCTGGCGTGATCGAGGTGAGGGTGAAGCTCCGAAAGCTCTAAGTGCTTGGACCAGTGCTCATTTTGGCTCCATGTGGTCCATGTAGCCAGGGCCTGAAGTTGAAGCATTGCTGATCTCAAAAGACGGGCGCTTCAATACTACTTGACAGTCCGAACGACCAATATCAAAGGCGAGAGAACTCAGCTGGCAGCTAGCAGGATTGGAGTCATTCCTTTTGGGCACAGCAAAAATTTTCTCCCAGGCCATCATAGGCCCAATGCTTTCCCAGCCAAAGCGCCAAGAGACAGACCTTTTCTCCAATACCCTGCATTCACCTGACCCACCGTACCCGAGCCTCTCTAAAAATAGTCCGTTGGTCCAAGATTCTGCTATATATATATATATATAACTGCCAACTATTTGCCTGCCTGGCAGATCTGGTGCCAATCCAACCCAGCTTTTTGCTCGCCATGGCTGACAACCCACTGGCAGCGACCAAAGAAATGTTGCGCCTGAGAGTGCAGCCCACAGCCGCAGGGTGGCAGGAGAGTGCAGATGATATGACTTCCTTGGTCCAAGAGGATGATTCCATGTCTCCATGTTTCAAGGACTTGGATAGTACCTTGCCTGTTCCGTTCTGTTTTTGCTGCTGTTTTTTTTTGACGGCATCATCATTGGTACCGGTATTCTATCAACTTCTGAGAAGTGCAGTCCCAAAGAGCGCGCTTTATCCCAAAGGGGCCGAAGCCAGATTTGCTTTTATCCCACAGCAAGCAATACTAAGCGGATTAAGAGGTCTCCACAAAACTGAACTGGTCAGATGCCTACCAGTGGTACTAAGCGGAGCAAGCCGTCAGATACCCTCACTGTCTCCAACACGCTGATGCCTACCTTGTCTCCAGCGTCCCTGCCCTTCCGCGAGCGCTTGCGTTCTGCACGGCCCGCTGGCGACTGCGCTGGCAGCATTTGCTGGTCGCGGATGGTCGCGGCTGAGACTTCAGAAGCTTTGGGCGTGGAGGGCGGAACTGGAGCGTCACGACTGGTGGAGATCAACAGCGGTGGAGTTGTTTTCTTCGTGCTGTTGAATTCACCCGGCGAACACGAAGAAGCGGTGGTCTTGAAGTTTTGCAACAACAGGCGCCAGATGCAACACGCGGCCGCACGGGAAACGTTTACTGTTTTTATTTTGCTAGGAAGACCGCAATCCAAGATGTCCTCAAATAATCATGGGTTGCTAGCTCGTTAAGAGTCTGCGCTTGTGTTTGATCATGTTTGAAAGCATCTTACACTCTGACTCGCTAACATGGAATACACCTTTTTTGTGGAGGACATATCCGGATGAGGAATGTGATTTGCTCAGGACTTATGCTATCCACTTCCATACTTGGTGAGTTTGAGTAGCATCGCATTTGAGGCAAGCACATCTAATTGCTCCATGATCAAACGATACAAACTAGGCCGAAGGATTCTGTTGAACAACTCGAAGAAGCTTGATTTGTGTTGCCAATGGCACCATCGGCAGTTGGCAGTTGGCCATACTGTAAATTTGCCAATGCCAATGGACGAACGACGAACATGGCAAGACAATGCCAATGTCAAGTTATTGTTGTCTTCGCAATCTTCGCACTTGTTACCATTCTTCACCAAACCGTAGCCAAGGTCTGCAGTGGAATGCATTCACACAAGGGCAACGGCTGTTGCTAATGCCAAAGAAACACCAGAAATGAACCTTTAGTTTGGACGACTGGTGCAGGTACACCCTTCAATCTGAACAGATGGCAGCCGAGCTAGCGAGACATCTGGGTGTCCCTGGGCCACTGTCACGAATCCTGCTGAAGCAGCACGATCGAGAAGAATGGGACCAATTGGCGCTCCACGCAGCAGAAGTTTGTCCATCTTTAGCAGACATGTTGGAGAAAAAGGTCACCCAGTTGCAAGGAACAACACACCCGGGCGTTTTCGTTCCCGCATGTTCCCGCAAAAGTTGGAGGGAAATATTGTGCCGTACTGTGTTGGTGCTGCGCTCTGTTTTTTTTTTTTTTTCCGGAGGTGCACGTCCAGATTGGCTTTCAATCCTGTGCATTCATAGCTATCAGGTGAGCTGCAATCGTGTGAAATCCTATTCAGGTCTTGCCTTGGATTGCTAAAAATGACCCACTGATTTGTCTCCAAAGCCCTAGTTACTAGACAACCTGGTTCCGAGTTCCTTCAATGACGGCTCTTTTCACATGTCGCATCCCGCACTCAAGTTCCTGAGTGGGGGGTTCCTTGCATGGCAAGAGCAAGACGTGCCACACGGAGAGCGGGCCCAGGCTCTTAAACACCCACCCCCTTCAACAAGGTCACCTAACAACCGTGAGGAACTACTCTGGACTCTGGAGGACTGCCCTTATTGTCGCGTCACACCTGACGCTTTTTGGTGCGTCACCCACACATCAAACGGTTCAATGCTTGGACGGCAGCAACGTGTGACGACGTGCTGTGACTTTTCGGTGGGTGTTGATGCACCAAACACTGATGTGACCGGGTCTGAGTGTTCATCCGAAGTTGCCATGAATGCTGTCATGACCCGCGAAGCCTGCTCCTGTGCAAATTCGATTTAGATTTAGAATGATTTAGATAATCTTTAGATATGTTTGAGCTGGGCGTGCTCAGGTCTCCATGTTACTCTTGCAATACGTCCCTGGCCACAACTTGTTTGATGAGAAGGAGGCCTTCCAGCCTGAGAACTTGTCCTCAGCATGCCACGCCTTAGGCGCCGTGTTTGGTGATGAAAATGACTGGGGAAAGGGATCTAAATTCAATGAATTTCAGGTGTTCGAGTAGGTTCCACAGGTGGGCTACAGATGGATGTATTACTGTATGACTCGATGCCGCATAGGAAAATAATTCCGACTCCGAACAAAACTTTACTTTCGTGTGGCCATGGTGTTTGGCAAACTGAAGTAGCAGTCTACCCGGAGTTGACCTGAGGGACACACTGCTCTGTGTAAATCATAGACCGAATGACAGATTATGCGGACCATCAAAACCTCAAAAACGCATTCAAAACTGTTCAAACATCTGGATCCAATCACTTGGCCCTTTTCGTGGCAAGGTCGTTTGTTCACGTTGGACTTATTGCTGGGTAACGCGGACCGTTTGCCGCTCCAGTCGCTCAGCTGGCGCGGCAACCCACGCAACGTACTCTTTTCGGCTGGCGGGCGCTGTGTGCCGATCGATGCTGCGGTGGCGCGACGGCCGCCCAAGTTGTTGGTGAGGGACATGGACCAGAAGGCGCCGCTGTTTGAGGGGAGAGACGGAGCGCCCGCTGCGGGGCATAGGTATCATAAACAAAATAAACAGAGCATCAAACAATCAAAAAACAGATGATATAAAAACAGAACGCAAATCAAAAAAGAAGTATTCCTTGATAGGCCTCTTCTGCTGCTCTCCTGGCCCTGTGGTCTGCGGGTCCTCTGGTAATAAGGTCCCTTGGTCCTTTGGTCCCTTGGTCCACTGGTCCTTTGGTCCCCTGTCCCCTAGTCCTCCGGTCTCCTGGTCCTGTGGTCCGCTGGTATCCTGGTCCTTTTGTCTCCTGGTCCGCTGGTCTCTTGCTCTCCTACTCTGCTCGTCTTTCGGTCTCCTGGTCCCTTGCTTGCGCAAATAGAGGCTTGATTGCTTTCTACTAGAGGCAGCTCCCTGGGACGAAAGTAGGTACCCAATGATAAGGTAGCCGTCCATTCATTGAGTAGCCCTACTCGAAAAAATGGTTCACCAGTAGAAATAGCTCCCTACTAGGAAGGAGCTCCTAGGGAGGTGCACTCTCCTAGTCCCCTACTCCTTCCATCCTCTTCCCTTGGTCTCCTAATCCTGCTACTGCTACTGCTACTACCCCAACCATCCTCAGTGGGCTAGAATATGTTTGTTTGATTACCTGTTTACTTCTTTGATCCCCGTTGAATATTTTTTGCTTCTATTTTTACTTTTGTTTTGATCCCTTACCCTGCGGGGGGAGAGAAGGAAGAAGGGGGACGTCCTACAGCACATGGAGACGCTTATGGTGCGGGTGGGAGTCGGAGAAGATATGATGGGGGATTAGCTTGGGAGGCTTTGATCTGTGAGAGAAGGACTTCACATGGTCACAGTTTGCTTTTCATGTTTTACCTTCGTTTGCTCTCCGGTAGACGCACTACACATAGATCCGTCACCACTTGACATCGACCAGACCTTTGATTCACAGTCCGCACGGCCAGCACAGTCGTAGTACCTCAGGAACCGTTAGCGCCAGCTCAACGATGCTGAAACTCCTGCTTGATCTATAGCATGTATGAAGGTGTTGTTCATGGGTTTGCGGGGTATAATCAGCAATGAATCACACTGCAAACTAAGTAAGACGTTGATGAACTTCACTTGCAGCGCGCGTCCCTGCCATGACCACCATCGGCCACTTGAGACACTCGAACGGTCAGCTGTCCACACGTGTCGGCAGATCGTTCTGGTACTCCTCACCCCGCGCAAGAGCCTGGCAAACAGGGCAAAAAGCCACCCAAACCGCCAACCGAGCTCGTTCCGCCAACCGAGCCAACCGAGCACTCCGACCTCGTCCGCTTCGCCAGGCGGCTCGACTTCTGGAGTTGGCCTTGCTGGATCGTCGCAGCTGTCACGAGGCGACAAACCAGGGAGCGCCAGTGGACGTCAAGGGCCTTTCTTGCTAGTCCGCTAGTGGTTGGCTTATTAAATGCTTAATATTAACCTAATATATATGTATATTATACTAATTAATGTATTTATTAGAAATTAAAATAGATAATTGAGTTACACAAGCATTTATAGAGCGGGTATAAACCCTCGATCTTTCCAAGAACATCATTGGCCGTGGGTGTGTGGAAGAAGCTTGAGCGGCACTGCCACCCGACAGTGATGTGGTAGGTGAAGAGGCTTTGGTCATGGTCCAATATCCGAGACAGATCACCTCGAGAACATGGCCC